AAAAAATTATTCATCTAGATGAAAAATAATTCACATATATTTTCCTTATAGGGCCTCGAGAAACTTCAATGGACAGTGGCAAACACCTTTGCTGTTGTCAAATAATTATTAGGTGCATCTAACAATGTATTTTGGGTAATGTAATATTTTTGTTGAGGGCATAGATCATAGTAAGGATTGAGGTAATTTTTCTCGCTTTGAAGTTTAAAGCACCACTCATTTCTATAATCCATAGTTCCATACCATAGGCATTACCAGATTCAGCACTAGCTTTGGTGGTGTCACAGGCTCACAGCCCATCTTGACATTTATGGCTCATTTTCATGAAGACCCCCAAAGACATGTACGTAACCTTCCTTAGACCGATTAATGGTCTTTGGACATGTATGTGATATCTGATGAGAGATTTGCCTATTCGGATATTGATGGTTATTGTATGGTTAAGTCAGTCTCCATTTTTTAGGGCCAAAGTCACCCTCTTGAGGTGCTTATGAGCTAGAATGATGAATAATGAATGTTGAGAGGATAAGAGGAGGAACACTTAGTTGGTCACTTGGTTAGCTGGTTGTGAGGCTCAGAGCAAAAGCCACAAATCATGCCCCCTTTTATTTTAGAATCTTCCTTGGATCTATGGGCTATGGCTCTGTATTTTCTATCTTATTTGTTGGCATGTTTTGTGGGCCCTTCCTTAAGGCTATGAGTTTAAAAGAACATTAAATTTAATTTTTACTCTATACATCTGTCTAGAACCACTATTTCTTCACAAAAATAACTAGATAAGGTGCTTAAAAGTATAATTTGAAGTATAAATTTTAGAATATGTTTAAAGTATAGGATAATAAGAACTGGATTTTCTTAATATGTTCAATTCTTGGTAATCGATATGACTGTGATGCTTGGGTTAACATCCCCCATATGCCATTTCTATTACACTATATCTTTAGTGTTTGGTTGTTACATAAGACTTTTCACACACATAAAGGCTAAATTACAAATACCTACTGAACCTGAGAGAGTGCTTGTCTTTGACTGGCTGTTCAATAGTTGTAGGGTTCCTATAATCGTATATGATTGGAGTAAGTTATCTTGTTCATGCTGAATGGCTCCTTTTAGGTGTTGGTGGGAATTTAGGAAATTTTGGGATTCAAGAGTTGTTTAGCTTTATAAAAGCTAGGCTTAAAGCTGTCAAAAGCTGACACGACCCGAACCCGATTGTTAACTGACCCATCTGAACTCGAAAAAATGGTGACCTAAACCTAACCCGACCTGAAACCAACCTTAGATCCAAGTTGACCCGAGTATGTGAGATCCAAACCCGAACATGAACCGACCTGAAGATGACCCGACCCGAATGTAACCCGTAAAATTATTGACCAGAACCGAAATCGACTTGAATCGAAATAGACACAAACCCGTTTTAAAACTGTCAAAACCCGAATTTAACCCGACCTGAATTCAACCCGACTCGTTCCTAACCTAACCCGAATTTAACCCGACCTGTTACAACCTTGACTCGAAACCAACCCGACTTGTTATTAACCCGACCCAAATTCAACCCGACTTGTTATTGACCCGACTAAAATTTTACCCTACCTATTACTAACCTGACCCAAAAATATAACCCGATCTAGTACTAACCCGACTTGAAATCAACACGACTTGTTATTGACCTGATTTCAAATCACCTTAAATTCAATTTAGACCACCTTACTATTGTTGATCAAAGCATTTTGTCTAGGGAGACCAAGTCGGCCCTGGCAGCAAAAGAAAGGAGCATCATCCCTAAATTTTAGAGAGAAATATAGTATATATTTGTTGTATGGTGAAAGGAGATAATTATCTTCCTAAATTATAGACTATAGTTCCCTAGTATGTTGCCATATATATTATAGTCAAAGGAAATAATTAGCTTGATAAAAATGATAATTATATATTTATAGTAAGTTAAACCCGAATATGACCCAACTTGAAAATGACCTAATCCAATTGTAACCCGCAAATTATTTACTTGAACCGAAGAATGACCCGACTTGAAAATGACCCGACCTGAATATAACCCGCAAATTATTGACTTGAACCGAACCCGACTCAAACCTGAGAATGACCCGTCCTGATTCAAACTCGCAAATTATTGACTTGAACCGAACCCGACTCAAACCCGAGAATTACCCTAACCCATTTTAACCTGTGAAAACCCAACCTATTGTTCACACAACCCAAATGTAACCCAACCTGTTATATACCCGACCCAAACCCGATAAGATGTATGACCCGACGTGACCCAACTTAAGCATGACCCGACCCGCATAGGGTTACGACATTAACCCGAATTGAACCGACCCGAGTTGGCCCGACCCACTCTTACCCGACCTGTTTACCTTAATTGACAGCTCTAGCTAGGCTCACTCTTGTTTTGAAGGTTATATCTGTTAAGCTATTTACATGATCTCTGTGACCTTGTCAACTTTGTGTACAATACCACAAAGACAACTGTAAGTGGTGGTCATGTACAATGGGCTAAGGTTTCTGGGCTATTTGGTAGCCTTGGGTCCATACTGGTCAGATGTTTCACATATCAGGTCTGATGCAAAGGTGTGCAATACCTAATGGGACAATTGAGCAATTTCAATAGAAATAGGGGTTCAGTCTGTCAACTCTTTTGAGTCACCTAATGGTCATGATTTTTTATGTATTATATTAGACTTTGGATTTATAATTTTGTTGAGAGGCATGAGCTCACCGTTTCACACGGAAACCTCTAAAAGTGTATCTAGAAGTTGTGGATGCTTTCCTACTCCTGTGGTTCTGCAAAGGCTATTAAAAGATTCTGGAAGTTTCTTTGAGTTGCCTGATACATAGATTTTTCCTTTTGGGCAATCAAAATTATAACATCCAAAAACATATCCCTAGCAGCATTCTGTTGGAAACTACAACAGAGATTATGAAGCCATCACAGCATTAAACTATGTGAGGAAAATGGACAGATGTCTCCCATGGTTGCCTATTGCTATTTTGGGCCTACAACAATTCAAAGTCATTACTTTGGACATTAGTTGGGGCCTATTGCTATGCTGTAAAAGCAGACATTTTTAAAAGCCTATCAAGCTCCGTAATAGTCCTTGAAGGGTGCCAGGGTCCATATTATAGGATGCATCCCCCAATGGCCTCAGCAGTTTCCATTTTGGAGGCTCGCATTTTAAGAAGGTTACAGCAACCAGAGTGAGCCTACTTGGGTTTCCCAGCTCTGTTATGAGTGACAAAATTAGGTTACTGAATCAACAAAGCTCGATTTCATTGCTAGGAAAAAAAAGTTTTGTTGATTTGTGGAGGAAAGCCTCCTCTGCTCCTATTTCAAAGGATATAACTCGTTCTCTATGCAATTTTGATTTTGTGGATTGCAGGATGTCATGGCTATTAAGAAGAAATTGTACTGTGTCGCATAGGAATGAAATTACTCTCTCATCATTTATTGACGTGCTATACCTCAAACATTACTGTCATTTTTCTTTTTCTATATTCACATGCTACGGTGTATATGTGAGCTTTGCAAATCTGTCATTTATTACATGTTTCGTTGTATATGTGAGCTTGGCAAATCTTACTGTCAGTTATTACAATATGCTATGGTGTATATCTGAGCTTAGCAAAACTTACTGTTATTCGCTTTCTCTATATTCACAATGAGGTTTGCTTTTAATTTAAGTTTCGAGCTTAATGTGTTAATAACCAAATTTCAGTTGACATCAATTTATGCTGCCCGTGGGCTATAATTACATTTTTCTTCAGATTAAACATATTCTGATCCATGAACTTGAATTTGGCTTTCTTCAGATTCGGCTTGCAGAAGCTCAATTACAAAAAGCTAGCCCTGAAGATATGAAGCCTGAGCAGCTTGAAAAGGTCAAGAAGTTGGAAGGTTGGCGCGAGGAGCTAAAGTTTTTGGAAGGTGAAAAAACGACAGAATCAACGTCGTGACCCTCATTTGTTGTAGTCGCTATTCAACCAAGATTGTCTTGATTAGTTGGTAAGGTCACTAGCTGAACCTCCCCATTAGGGTCTAGGGGCTCTTAACAGAAGCTACCTCCCCCCACCCCTCGGGGTGTGTACTCTAGAGTGTTTGAGCTTTTATTGGTCAGGGGAATTGCGATGGTGTCAACTCAAAATTATATACTAGTACATTTAGTCATATCTGCACATAACGTGTGGTATTGTTGATTATTTGTGATTCGGTGGAGAAGTGTTGCTTTGTTAGAGTCCAATATTTGTGGTTTGTGCCATTGTAACTTATATTTTACATGCTGTGTTATGAAATTTAGTCATGTAACATTTGCATTGCGAATTTTCTTTTTGATATCGTACTGCTTGCATTCATTATTGAACAAGGGTTGATCAAATGTTGTTGTCGCTCGCTCATCCAAAGACAATCAACTGATCAACTGCCTAAGTTTACTGATATAACAGGTGATCTGCAAGCTGACAACCACAACATACATAAATTTTTTACATGTTACTATGTCAGTTGTGCAATTGTCGATCCAATTAGGTTTATTAAAATATACGCCGTGTTGAATACACAACGATTGCATCAGATCGGATACTTTCTGGCACCGTGCTCAAATCCAATTAATGTGGATGTATGATTCAACCTCGTGGACTCGTGGTAATGTCTTCTTGTCCTCCCAAACCTATTTTTTAATACATACATCCGATCAGGGTGCCTAGATTTCGATTTCTTAATTAAGATTAAATTACTTTTTACATGTTATCACGGCGTATCAATAGCCTTGCTTTAGTTACACATCCTATTGCAATTTCCAGATTGTTTCTGATTCCTCACATTCTCAGTTGTACAAACTCGACTTGAAATTACATAATCCGAACAAAAATCCTAACTCGACGATTCAATATTGATCACTTTATCATGATTAGCTAATCGACAACTAATCCTAAATCCTCGAACTCAACCAGATCCGAACAATCCTTATAACAAAACAATAGTATTGGCACAAAATTAGATAAGGGCATATATAGAGGAACAACATTTGAACAATCTGTTAATTACACAACAACACTCGATAATAATAACATTAATAATAACATAATCAAAAGGGCAAATACATAATTGTTTAATCAAGAAATGATTAAAAGAAGTTGGGGTCATAACCATTGCTAGCAGTAGCCAAGATATAGTAAGCAACAATATGACCAATTGAACCCCAAGCAAGAACATCAACAATGTTGAACCCAACAGGGTCATTAGACTTGAGCAGGCTAACATACTCCTTAGCACGAGTATCGCCCGCCTCGAAATGAGTCATTCCATTCTGCTCAGGCACTTGCTTAGCCATGTTCTCTCTTTGGAAGTTAAAGAACACAAATCTTCCTAGGAAAAGTGATAGTCCTGTACTCAGACTTATCACCAATGATGGGTTCAGTTCAGCTCTGCAGGTCATCGCTCTTCTTTTTCCTGACATCGAAAGGCTACTGCTGCTGCGGCTGATGTTGCTGCTGAGCTGCAGGGGACGTAGCCCTGCGAAAGACTTGCATTTGATTAGCTGCTGCTGTTGCTGCTGCGGCTGCTTTGTGGTGCAGGGTGCTAGTAAACTGCTGCTGCTTAATGCTGCTGTTGCTGTTGCTGCTGCCATTTTTTTTTTACGGTTTTTTTTTTTTTTTTTTTTTTGGGTGATTTTAGAACATGAAAATTATATGATATGAACTATAAAATGATCATGTAAAGATGAAGATATCTGAAAAATGGATATGAAGAATGATGTCCACAAAATCTGACAGACAAATCAGAATATTTTTGTGGGTGGTATTTGAGGATTTTTTAAAAAGATTTTACTAGGTGAGGTGTACTGTTTTTATTGGTTTGTTGTGGATCAAAGATTATATTATTAATCCTATAGTTTTTTAATATTGATTAAGTATGTTTGGGTTTGTTAATTATCAACAAATGAGGATCCGTGGCGCAATGGTAGCGCGTCTGACTCCAGATCAGAAGGTTGCGTGTTCGATTCACGTCGGGTTCAAAACCCCGAACTCATTGGATCAAATTTTTTTATTTTTTGGGTTCTTGCTGCTGTATGACTTACATATTGAGAGAATATATTATTGTATTTATGAAATTTAATAAAGTTGATTGATGATGATTTCTGTTTTACGTAGCACTACGATTTAAAAAAGGTTCAATTCTACATCGATCAAGCTAGTTTCATACTCTTAATAATAACCACGTACAATGAATGTTTTACGACTTCAAAACCTCCAAAATTTCTCTAAAAATGTGGATATTAGCCTTTAATTTTTAAATTTTTTGACTTTTATCATCCGAAAATAAAAATTGTCGAAATGTTTACTATGGTCCCTAATATCCTCCGGGAGTCCAATTGGGTAGGTGGAACCAACTAATTTGCCTTTAAACGGCCAATTTACCGATTTACAACTTGCACCGATTTCATTAATTCAAGCCTATCATGAACATTTATGACAATATATAATGATTACATATGGTTCCAAATGGCATTATATGACCCCAAGATGTGTCCCCTAAAATCTCGAGTCTTTTCGTCAACGGGCCCCAAAACCTCTAAAATTTCTCAAAAAACATGGATATTAGACTTCAATTTTGGAATTTTTTGACGTTTTTTCGCCCAGCAATAAAAATTGACGAAACGTTTACCATGGTCCATAATACCCTCCGAGAGTCCAATTGGGTGGGTGGAACCATCCAATTTGCCTTTAAATGACCAATTTACCGGTTTACAACTTGTACCGATTTCATTAACTCGATCTTACCACGAACATTTATGACAACAACTAATGATCATATGTTGTTCCAAACGGCATTATATGACCTTGAGATATATCCCCTATAATTTCAAAACTTTTTGACACCGGGCCCGAACCTCCAAAATTTCTAAAAAAGCGTGGATATTAGCCTTCAATTTTTGAATTTTTTGACTTTTTTTCGCCCGCAAATAAAAATTGCTGAAATTTTTACAATGGTTCCTAATACCCTCTAGGAGTCCATTTGGGTGGGTTGAACTATCCAATTTGCCTTTAAACGACCAATTTACCGGTTTACAACTTGCACTAATTTCATTAAATCAAGCCTACCACGAACATTTATGACAACATATAATCATCATAAATGGTTCCAAACGGCATTATATGACCCCGAGATGTTTCCGCTAACATTTAAAGCTTTGCGAGTCCGGGCCTCGAGACCTGCAAAATTTCTAAAAAAAAACGTGGATCTTAAATCTTTAACCTTCAATTTTGGAATTTTTTTCGCCCGAGAACAAAAATTCCCGAAATATTTACCATGATCCCTAATACCTTCCGGGAGTCCACTTGGGTGGGTAGAATCATCCAATTTGCCTTTAAACGACCAATTTACCGGTTTACAACTTGCACCGATTTCATTAACTCAAGCCTACCACGAACATCTATTACAACATATAATGATCATATATGGTTCCAAACAACATTATATGACCCCCATATGCATTCCCCTAAATCTCAAAACTTTTTGACACCGGGCCCCGAAACCTTCAAAATTTCTCAAAAAACGTGGACAATTAACCTTCAATTTTGGAAATATTTGACTTTTTTTCGCCCGAAAATAAAAATTGCTGAAAATTTTACCATGGTCCTTAATACCCTCCAGTAGTCCAATTGGGTGGGTGGAACCATCCAATTTGTCTTTAAACGGCCAATTTACCGCTTTACAACTTGCACCGATTTCATTAATTCAAGCATACCACGAACATTTATGACGACAAATAATGATCATATATGGTTCTAAACGACATTATATGACCCTAAGATGTATTTCATAGAATCTCAAGGCTTTTCTATACCAGACCCTGAAACCTTCAAAATTTCTCAAAAAACGTGGATATTAGCCTTTATTTTTGGAATTTTTAGACTTTTTCGCTCGGAAATAATAATTGCCAAAATGTTTATCGTGGTCCCTAATACCCTTCAGGAGTCCAATTGGGTGGGTGCAACCATCCAATTTTCCTTTAAACGGCTTATTTACCGGTTTATAACTTGCAGCGATTTCATTATATCAAGCTTACCACGAACATTTATGACAACAATAATGATCATATATGGTTCCAAACGTCATTATATGACTCCGAGATTTATTTCCTAAAACTTCAAGGCTTTTCGACACTGTGCACCGAAACCTCCAAAATTTCTTAAAAAGCGTAGATATAAGCCTTCAAATTTGGAATTTTTTGGTTTTTTTCGCCCGAAAATAAAAATTGCCGAAGTTTTTACCATGGTCCCTAATGCCTTCCGGGAGTCCAATTGAGTGGGTTGAACTATCCAATTTGCCTTTAAACGACCAATTTACCGGTTTACAACTTGCACCGATTTCATTAAATCAAGCCTACCACAAACATTTATGACAACATATAATGATCGTAAATGGATCCAAACGGCATTATATGACCCCAAAATGTATCCCCTAAAATTTTAAAACTTTTCGACACCGGGCCCCGAATCCTCCAAAAATTCGCAAAAAGTGTAGATATTAGCCTTTAATTTTGTTATTCTTGACTTTTTTTTGCCCGAAGAAAAAAATTGCCGAAATGTTTACCATGATCCCTAATACCGTCCGGGAGTACCATTGGGTGGGTGGAACCATCCAATTTGCCTTTAAACGACCAATTTATGGTTTACAACTTGCACCGATTTTATTAATTCAAGCATATTACGAACATTTATGACAACATACAATGATCATATATATGGTTCCAAACGGCATTATATGTCCTCGAGATGTATCCCCTTAAATATCAAGACTTTTCTACACAGGTCCCCGAAACCTCCAAAATCTTCAAAAAACGTGGATATTAGTCTTCAATTTTGGAATTTTTTGACTTTTTTCGTTCGGAAATAAAAATTGCCTAAATGTTTACCATGGTCCCTAATACATTCCGGGAGTCCAATTGGGTGGGTGCAACCATTCAATTTGCCTTTAAACGGACTATTTACCGGTTTATAACTTGCATCGATTTCATTAAATCAAGCCTAGCACTAACATTTATGACAACATATGATTATCATATATGGTTTCAAACGGCATTATATGTCCTCGAGATGTATCCCCTTAAATATCAAGACTTTTCTACACTGGTCCCCGAAACCTTCAAAATTTCTCAAAAAGTGTGGATACATCTCGAATTTTTTGACTTTGGAATTTTTTGACTTTTTTTGCCCGGAAATAAAAATTGCCAAAATGCTTACCATGGTCCTTAATATCCTACGGGAGTCCAATTGGGTGTGTGGAACCATCCAATTTGGTGTTAAACGGTCAATTTACCGGTTTACAACTTGCATCGATTTATCGATTTACAACGACCAATTTAATTAACTTGCACCGAACCTGACTTGAACCGAAATTAACCCTAACCCGTTTTAACCCGTCAAAACCCGAATTTAACCCAATTTGTTACTAACCTGACCTGAATTCATCCCGACTCGTTCTTAACCTGACCCGAATTTAACCCACCTTGTTACAAACCCGACCCGAAATCAACCCGACTTGTTATTGACCTGATCCAAATTCAACCCGACTTGTTATTATATTGACCCGACTCGAATTTTACCGGACCTATTATTTACCCGACTCAAAAATTCAACCCGATCTATTACTAACCCGACCCGAAATTAGCACAACTTGTTATTGACCCGACCTATATTCAACCCAATTTGTTCCTGACCCGATTTCAAATCACCTTAAATGCAATTTAGACCACCTTACTATTGTTGATCAAAGCATTTTGTGTAGGGAGACCAAGTCAGTCCAAGCCAGCAAAAGAAATGAGCATTATCCTCAAATTTAAGAGTTAAATATAGTATATATTTGTTGTATGCTCAAAGGAGATAATTATCTTCCTAAATTATAGACTATAGTTCCCTTGTATATTGTCATATATATTATAGTCAAAGGAAATAATTAGCTTGATAAAAATGATAATTATCTATTTATAATTAGTTGAACCCGAATATGACCTGACTTAGAAATGATCCGACCTGATTGTAACATGCAAATTATTGACTTGAACATAACCCAACTTGAATCCGAGGTTGTCCCGACTTGAAAATGACCCAACCTGATTATAACCCGCAAATAAATGACTTGAACCGAACCCGACTTGAACCCGAGAATGACCCGACTTGAAATTGACCCGATCTGATTATAATCTGTAAATTATTGACTTGAACCGAACCCGACTCAAACCCTAGAATGACCCGACCTGATTCTAACCCGCAAATTATTGACTTGAACCAAACCCGACTCAAACCTGACCTATTGTTCACCCGACCCGAATGTAACCCAACCTGTACCCAAACCCGATAAGAAGTATGTCCCAACGTGACCTGACTCAAGCATGACCCAACCCAAAACCCGACCCGCATAGGCTGTGGAATTAATCCGAATTGACCCGACCCACTCTTACCCGACCCATTTACCCGAATTGACAGCTCTACTTATGAGTCTCGTCTTTATATGGTTAAGTTGGCTTAGATATACACAAACTTATTCCTATAATTTTATGATAGTAATTAAATAATTGTAAGGATGTTTCAAATTGATCTTTGCTTTGCTACACAATTACAAATGTATACATCTTTTCTCAAAAAAAAAATTGTATACATATGACTATGTGAGCATTTATATATGGAAAATAAAGGATGGATGTTATCTTGAGCTCAAGTGTTGGGAGATATTACATTACAAGTGACCAAATATATCAATATTGTGCAGGTTAGCTTAGTGAGGATCTTACTTCACTTTATGATAAGTTCGAGCTAGATTATAGATTATTGTCTCACAATACAAGTGTCAAAATCAACTTTTGGTGTCATTACTTAAGTGAGAAATAAGTCTATATTTTGGAGTTAAACTATATAATTTGAATAAAGTGATAAATCATAATGATGAATCATCTCACTACACAAATTAATATGATACGTGTCATATTATTTGATAGTGCTACAAAAAGAGGGGGTTAGCTACTTGATGAGATTCAAAACTTGTGGATCTTATTTCTTGTACAATCCTCATTCATAATTCATACGAGTCCCCTAAAACCGAAGAAAAATGAGATAACATAAAGAGCGAGAATACAAGATCCTAAAATAGTCATCCAAGACCCCTCAATTGATGTCAATTCCTTATTATTAGGAGGCACATTAACCTCTATAGTCTATATAGAGCAACATAATCGCATAGTAATTCGGATCACTCATGCCCAAGTCAGTGAAGTAACACCATAAAAAAATCTACCAAACACCTTTTTTGACAATATCTTTGCTTGGAATTCCTTAGTTAGGAGAGGATTATCATCGTTAGATTACGTATTCATAAAGAATTTGAAAGAATAATTTTAAAAAATTAAAATGGAGTGTGCTCTTTTTGACTTCTTTCATCAACAATTGTTCATTATTTTTATGAACAGAGGTTGTATTAAAATTTACAAATTTGAAATTTCAAAAGCTATGCATTGACGACAAAATAATTAGTTATTCTCGAATATAACATAGGTAAACACGGGAACAAAATAAAAGTGTTACTTCGTTAGTAATCATGTTCATATCTATTGCGAATTACAAGTGAATGTTGTTGTCACAAGTTAATAGGTTCTAAGCAACTAGTTTTACTATATACTCCGTAACAGATTTTGACACTCCAAATATTGATTACAGATAAAATCATTGTCAAGTTGACTCTCTAGTTTACATACGGACTGCGGAGTGTTTGGTGGTTAAACGCTTAACCTACTCTTGATCAACAAAATTTCAAATCTATCCAACAAAAATTTGACAATGAGATTTGTCCAACATCTATCCAAGAAATAAACAGCAACTTCTTGTTGTTCAGAAAAATAAGCAAACAATCAAGCAATGTTCTAACAAGGCGAAATTTTCGAAACAGAAATGATAAAACACTCATTCCTCTTCATTTTGATAGAAAAATTTTAAACAGACTAGCCGAATACAAGACAACAGCAAAGTCTGAGAGCAATTACAAAACATAAGCCTAAAAGTTTTGCCTTATTCAAAACCCCCATATTAGGACCTCAATTCAAAACACACTTTGATACTTGTCCTCTAAGCCCTTCCAAACTTTCCCAAACAGCAAAGACAAGCAAAAAAAACTAACATCCTAAGCGAAAATTAAGATATAAGGCACACCACCCCTTTCCTCTTCGAAGACCCAATACGCCAATCTCCGTTCCCCACTCTAATACCTGTAGTGAGCTGGCTTGTATGGTCCCTCGACGGGCACGCTGATGTAGTCAGCCTGGTCCTTAGAAAGCTTGGTGAGCTTAGCACCGAGCTTGCCAAGATGAAGGGCAGCAACCTTCTCATCAAGGTGCTTGGGCAAAACGTAGACCTCCTTCTTGTATTTGCCAGAGTCCTTCTCGTTCCACAACTCAAGCTGAGCAATAACTTGGTTGGTGAATGAGCAGGACATGACAAAACTGGGGTGACCGGTGGCACAACCCAAGTTCATGAGACGACCCTCAGCCAAGACAATGATGCCAGTCTTGGTCTCGGGGAAGACAAAACGGTCAGTTTGGGGCTTGATGGTGATCCTCTTGACTCCTGGGTAGTTCTCAAGTCCAGACATGTCAATTTCGTTGTCAAAGTGACCAATGTTGCAAACAATGGCGTTGTTCTTCATCTTCCTCATGTCATCAACCATGATGATGTCCTTGTTACCGGTGGTGGTGACAAAGATATCAGCTTCAGAGACAACATCGTCCAAGGTCAAGACCTGGAAACCTTCCATAAGAGCTTGGAGAGCACAGATGGGATCAATCTCAGTCACGATCACACGGGCACCAGCTGCCTTCAAGGCTAGAGCACAACCCTTTCCGACATCTCCGTATCCACATACAACACCAACCTTTCCGGCAATCATAACATCGGTGGCTCTCATCAAACCATCGGGAAGGGAGTGACGGCATCCATACAAGTTGTCAAACTGTTAACAAACACAAATACATTATAACCACACCATTTCAAATAATCACATTTTCCTTCCAACAAAGCAAGTTATGATAATGTCAATATGATGATTCGATTCTGATCAAGTGTATCGATATCCAAGACTCGAATTTATACCTTGCTCTTGGTGACAGAGTCGTTAACATTGATGGCGGGGAACAACAAGGTACCGTTAAGCTGCATCTGGTAAAGCCTCTTAACTCCGGTGGTGGTCTCCTCAGAGACACCAACCAATCTTTGCTTCATCTTGTGGTACCTCTTAGGGTCAACCTTCAAGCTCTCGACGATCAAGCCCAACACGAGTTGGAACTCGACATTGTCAGTAGAGCTTGGGTCGGGCACCTTTCCGGTCTTCTCAAACTCCTCCTCGGCCTTAACTCCCTCGTGGATCAACAAGGTAGCGTCACCACCGTCATCAACGATAAGGTCAGGACCGCCAGCGGCACCCCAGTCAAGAGCCCTCTCTGTGCACCACCAGTACTCCTGGAGGGTCTCACCCTTCCAGGCGAATACTGCAGCACTGTCCCTAGCAATAGCAGCAGCAGCATGGTCCTATATAACAAATTAAATCAATAATTCAATTAATTAATCAACATTTCTTGCTAAAATAATGTATGAATTTTATAATAGATCCACAAAAACCGCATCTGAAACTCAGCCAACAGAAAACCCAAAATTCATGCTAAGATCCGATTATTGAGCTCATATTTTCATTTTGAACTTCAAATTTTCATGAAATATTATGATTAAACAGATCTTAGCTTAAAAATTAAGACAGTAACACTGTGATCTACTCAATTCATACTATGATTAAATCCCACAAAAAATAATTAAATAATTAAAGTATATACCAGTAATGCCACCATTAAATCATCCATTTAATATTAATTAAACCCCCATAATTCTATAAGATCTGAGATCTTAAGAATCCAGAAATGAACAACCCATTTCGAATTATTTATTGCACAAATTAAACACTTATTCATTTTAAACTCTAACTATATACCAAATCCCACCAAAAATGATTAAATAATTTAAGTATATACCATCATTTTTATCATTAAGCAAATACCCTACAATTCTAACCATAAAAAAAACACAAGATCTGAGATCTTAAACCCTAGAAAAAACAACCCATTTCAAATCAAAAATTCTACAACTCAATCATTTACTCATTTCATTAAAATCATCACAAAATGAATCAAACCCAACAAGATCCAATCCACAAAAGCAATAAAACCCCATTTAAGATCTGAAAATTCCAAAATCAAGGGTAAACAACAGATCAAAAAAGGGGATTAAATCGAAAAATGACGAGATAAATGAAATTATACCTGGGTAGAGAAGATGTTGCAAGAACACCAACGAACTTCAGCACCAAGAGCAGTAAGAGTCTCAATAAGAACAGCAGTTTGAATAGTCATATGAAGAGATCCAGTAATCTTAGCACCTTTAAAAGGTTGAGAAGGACCAAATTCAGTACGGCAAGACATAAGTCCAGGCATTTCGACTTCAGCAAGCTCGATTTCGAGTCTACCGAAATCAGCCTGAGACATGTCTTTAACCTTGTACTCTCTTCCAGAGGTGGTCTTCTCGACTGACAATGGAGTCGCCGCCATTGTTGCTGAGCTCGAAGAACAGGAAGAGAGAGAAGAAGAAGAGGAGAGAGAAAATGGAAGGAGTGATGAGAAGAGAGAAAGAGGGGTGTAGCGAGGAGTTAAGGGAGTGAGGGTAGGGATATAAATAGGTTTGAAGAGATTGGATTTGACGGTCACGATTTATTTGAATCTATCAATGTTTTGATTTTCAGGGGTTGGTGATTTGGAAATTAAAATTAAATTAAATTGAAAAAAAAATTGAGTTGGGCTAATAATATTGTTGTTTGTTGTTGTTGGTCATGGACTATAATTGTGGAGTGTCATGTTTGAATTTGATGACTCTATAAAAAAGCCAAGTAGTCCAACCCATTTTATCGTTTACTCTAAATTAATAGTCACGTATATTATTTTATGTACTTACGATGTAATCTAATATATATATATATATATATATATATATATATATAAATATAAAGGGAAATTTTTCCTGAGTTTTTAGATAGCCATGTAGGATTTAATTTTCTTAGCGCGCCATGTAAGATTATAAATTTAAGTTGTAGCCAATTAAATAAGAGATTATTAATTTCTTTTACAATTATAATTCAAATGCCACATAAGAAAAATTGACGAATGATATACTAAAGTTTAAATTAATTAAATACAAAATATTATCTTTTGAGATTAGGAATTTTATCTAATATTTTAAAGCTAATATAATAATAAAAATCACATAAATATAAAAAATATTTTTTTAAAAAAATATTAACAAACCGTGCATCGCACGGGCTTCATCTAGTGATAATAATAATACAGAGTATTTTATACTTCGTAAGATTTAGATTTATGTTTTGTGATACACAATTATAACTTTAAGATACTTTATCATTATCTGTTTCTTTTCATTACCTTTAAACGCAATACTTTATTGAAAAATATATATACTTCGTTAAAACATAGTAATTCAGCAGTTTGTTAGATTTGTTTTGATTTTTAATGTCTAAGTATTAATATTTATAATTTTTTATAATGCGTATTTAGAAATATTTCGAAGGGGAATTTCCTTTTCAAGACTCTATATTTGTACCATGCGATTCAGCCTTAATTCTTTCTCTCAATGAGCGGGGGATGCAGAGGTTCATAATTAGAGGAAGCAATGAACGTATTGATTCATGTGAGTGTGTGACATAAGGGGTGGAATTGGTTGCAGGAGTTTGTTGTGCAAAATGAGAAAGGTGACGTTTGATACAATTACCGTTGGTGTTTGTTGACGATTAAGTTTGGTTGGGTCAATCGATTGACCACAGTTTTTGACATTGACCACGGTTTTAGGCATGTGTAAGACAAATGTCATGTAGGATGACGAGAACATTTAAAAGGGGTTCTGAATATACAACTTAACATTGAAAAAGTCGTGAAGGTCAAATAATAATGTTTATGAAAGTGGATTGATCCATATTGGATATCACCCAAAAGATTTCAACCATCAAAGATAAGTAATCAAAGTTAATTAATTACTTATGGTATATAACAGGGCATGTATCATTGTAGTGTTTCTTCCTATATTTGGTTTGTAGATTATGTCTAATGTAAAAATTATTCCTTATATTATGACTGCAGTCACATTAATATACGCTGGTTAATTTGTTTAGATCTTACAACAATAATTAGGGTTTATTTTCAGACAATTGATTGTAAAATCAATTGAAATGTAGAGTTTTTCTATCTCATCGATAATTTTATTTTTATTTTTATTTTTTATGAAAAGAACTTGGTTTTGTTTCCTTGATTATTGCTTATAGTATAAACGTGTTAGAAATTACAAAACTAAAGTAAAGGAAAATATAAACTAGGTAAATGAGGCTAATCTCTGTCATTAGGCTAACAATAACCTATGTAAACGTTGGGATTAAACTATTTTAATTTACTACAGCCAATCTGTATAACAAAATAGATTATTGTTTTCGTAGGTCCAAAGTATCTACATTTACACGATGTATAATGAGTTATAAAGTCATCAAAGACATCTTCTTTCTCTTATGTGGGACTAACTTTCTCAATCACCTGCACATTTGAAGACTTCTAATCCTCTCAAGTCTCAAAAATAGAGGGGTAGAACAATTGAAGGCCTTTGAATTTGACTCTTGCGTTACCAAAATTTATCAAAATGTACTGAAGAAAAACACTTGATAACTCATGCTAAAGTTATATGATTGCAAAATGCAACCCCTCGCCTACTTCATGCTCGCATCAACAATTCTTGTATATTACCAAAATACTTCTCTTTCTTTTCAATTCTTGTATATCTTCAACAACCATACACTTCCTTTAAGTTATTACTTTCCTATCACTTAGACACTTAAACTTTTGTTTGAAATTAGATATCTCATGCATCAACACGAATACAATTTGGTTTACAATTTATGAAGCATCTTGTAATTAATAATGCCCTAATTATGAGAATATGCAGCAACATTGCAACAATAATCATACAAAGCTAAGCTGATTTACTCTTAATTCTTCGCCATTGAAGACTATTCACAACAACAGATGGGTGGAAGGCCTAGGATTTCTTTGAATGTGATTCTATATATAGATCAAAATATATCAAAATTTACTCGATCAAGAAGAACACTTAACAATAAATTCATGTTAACATCCTTTTATGTTTGATTGCAAAATGCAACCCCTACTTAGGGTCTGTTCTCATACGTTGTAATTCAGTTCAGTTCAGTTCAGCTGAATTCAGGCAATGAGAACATGCCCTTAGTTACACATACTCAAACATCACTCTCCCTTTCCGATAAATACTCAATCCTCGATAACTATGCACATTCTACTAAATATTGATTTACTATAATTTTCACTTTTGTTGTCAATATTGTTATATTTTATATGTCATGCATTAACGTCATTAGACTAAACATATTGTAAATTTGTACTCCGTAATGCACTAATGGTCCTATATGGATACATTACAATTAAGAAAACTCAGGGAAATCATCAATTACCACAATCGGCATTAAAGATGACAATCGACATTGCCACAATTACCATATATAGCTACAATACATGTTAATTCATTCTTCTGCCAATAAACATTAGAAAACGAACTATAATCAAACAACCAAGGAAATTTTATAAATGGTAAAATGTCACTCTACGATCACCTACTCTATAAACCAATCAATAGACGTTGCATAATGAACTTCAATTGTTGTTAAAAGCTTTAAAAAGACTAGTTCTAATACTCCGTAATATTCTATTATGGTCATTGAGCTTTTTTTCCCATGCTTCCTTCTAAAGTGAAAAACCGTTTATACCACCAACAAAAAAGTACTATTTTAACTTATTTTTATTTATTGATAAATAATACCTCCTATTTTTTTTTTTTTTTACTTGACCTGCTTTTTTTATCACGTTTATTAATACAAAACTTTAATGAATCAACAACTTTAATTTTCTATAAATAATAATTATAAAATTTATATTTTATGGTAGTACTTATTGAAACGAATTCAAATAGTTCTCACATGAAATTGTTTTTCCTTATATATTATTCACAAAAGACTGTTAAAGAATGGTTAGTAAATAGTGTAAAATTTAAAGTAGGTCAAGTAAAAAAGAACGGAGGAAATAAGAATTATTTTGATAGGGGTAATATCTTGCACAAATAAATTTACTTCGGGTTAGTGATTGATCCTTCGACAAAAGGGAGGAAGAAACAGATGGTGATAGATTTTTAATTACTTGTAAATCTCCCTATTGAAAATTTATTCGATATCTATGTTATGTACACATACACGGTAATTTAAAGTCTACTAAACACAGACTAATCCAAATTAAATTACCTCGTAAAACTAAATCAAATCCCAATCAGGTGGAAAGTTCTCTTAATACACGTTGTCGTGTTCCCAAATTCTTAAGTCGTCAACCCAAAACTTGGGTTTGTTATGTTCCGCTTAATGTTAGTTTAGTTAAGTTCAGTTCAATTGAACCCCAATCAATTTAGTTCAGTTCAGTTCAGTTGTATTCAGTAAATCGGAACATGACTTTAATGAAGCCAAAACAATTCTCTAAATTCAAACACTTAGGGCCTGTTTTGATTTATTGAACTAAAATGAACTGAACTGATTGGAGCTGAACTGTAATGAACTGAATATTTTATAAGAGAAGTAAATTAAGAATTGAACTGAACTGATTGGAGCTGAATTGAATTGAATTGAACATAAGTTGAAGAGAACAAGCCCTTATTGATCTCAATGTTAAAAGTTTTGTAGGATGTACAATTTTTTAATTTTTTTTTAACTAAAATAGTAGAGGAATTATATAAAAAATAATTCATGTCATTTGGGCTCCACAATATGAGTGTAATTCTACGATTCTACAACATCCACAAATGAAGATTTTTATTGTTTCCAACTTTATGGTTGGTATTTGGTAATGAGTGACCTTTTTTTTATTATTTATTCTGGTAGTGAGTGACTTTAACAATGGCAAAATGGCGACACCCTTACGATGTTGATCTTTTTTCCCTTTTTTCTATTTTATATTTTGGTGAAAGTATAATTTAGAATTACATATACACTCTTTTCATTTTAATTTACTTCATTTTATTTTTCCGTTTCAATTTAATTTGTTTATTTTTGTTTTTGACAATATATTACTCATTAGGGAGTATTATTATTGCCCCCTCAAAAAAGGGAGTATTATTATTGCAATACTTTCTCCTTTCACTATTTGATTTACTCCCTCTATTCCACAATAACTTTTACAATCAACTTTTACACACATGTCGATGCATTAATTTGATCTTATTTTTATATAGTTAAAGATTAATAAAAAATTATAATAAAAGTTATATTATGAAACTTTATATCAAAACTTATCTAACAACATATTTTATGACTAAATATATTTTTATTATGTTAGTAAAAGTTTATAATTAGAATGAATATATAAATAGCGAAAAAAAAGTCCTAACGTATTAGTTATGTTGAGAATTGGGATGGAAAGAGTATATCCTCGATTCCTTAAATTGATAAATTAGGTGTAACTCTTGAGAGAAGGACCTCTTCATTTTAAGTCACGATCTCGTATGACTTTAATTTAGTCCATTTGACTAAAATATCTTTGTTTCTTCAACTCAAATCTACAATAATTCAATACTACATCAATTATTCTCTATGTTTAATTTAATAATATAGTGTTTATAAAAAACTTAGATTTGGCAAATGTAGTGGCTTTTTAGTTGTACTTGTTTCAGTGAAGTTGGTGAAACCAATTCTTTAATATTTTACGCATATGGCCATATGGGCATAATCGCATAATTGATCCATGAAGATCTCAAGGCACCTATACATTAAATTTTTAAGAAAAATGGTAATCTAAACTCCATTACTTTTTTTTTTTTATTTATTTTATTTTATTTTATTTATTTATTTATATTTTTTTTTTGTTTGTTAATTGTCTATGAGATTAAGAAAGTATTTTTGCATTCTCTATAACTAATGAAAAATCACAATATTAATTAGGGATACATTTTATTCACCTACAAGAATAAGTTTTAAGGTTAATTAGGGTTTATCAGATTTAATCAAGAATTGGGTATAAACATAAAATAAAATCATGATCGATTAGGTAAATAGAATACACCTTAAATTGAGTATTGAGCAAATAAATTGTCATTTTGCAATAACCCCATTGTCATAATTGTTTTTTAGTGTTTAGAGAGCCACAAAGGGCGGGGGTGAGAAATTGAGAATCAATTCTATGATCCCTTGGAACCTGGAGAAAACTCTAACCATTTGAGTTATCCCTCACTCTCACCCCATTGTCATAATTGTTAATCATAACCACGTTATATTCACTTTTGGCCCTAGAGAGTTGAGCTTTCAAATTAGGCTCATTTAGTGTGTAATAATTTGTCCTTGTCTATAATGAATTGATGAAATCTTCAACTCCAACAATTTTCTTAATAATTATAACTTCTTGTCGAATTTACAACTCTCAATAAAACATAATGTCAATGTTCCAAGTGTCACAACCTTATAATTTCATATATACAATTTTAAAATTAACCTAATTTATCAAATAAAAAGCCAATTAAAGTAACATATTCTTCGTACCTATTTATCACTTTTATTAATTGCTTAGAAGTTAGTTATTTTGCATAATAAGACATGTAACAAAAATAACAATCACCCACACAACCCCACCAACAAAAACTATTTGTGATCACAATTAAACACCATCACATCCAACAAAAAAAAAAAAAAAAAAAAAAAAAAAAAAAAAAAGCTATTCCTCCTTTAATAAGAAAAACTTAAAAAGAAAAAGGCCAAAGAAAAAAAAAAAGTTTTAGTAATGAGAGTGAAATGAAGTGGTGTCGGTGGCCCATTTAAACAGTAGAGGTGAACAAGTGTATGAATTTTCGTATAATCAAACGAAATTGGTGCAAGGCCACCGGACAATGAGTGACGCTACACACTTCATTGGCTCACGTTCACTAGTCGCTGCGGTATCAACTCACCTTTTTCAATTAAAAAAAAAAACCTCTTGGGTGCATTGAATAAGGGAAATAAAAGTAGAAATACGAAGTATTGAATTAAATTGAACATTAATTACATCGATCGATGCATGATTTTGTCATATATTTTTAAATTAACACCAATTTAGGAAATATTTTAAATGTTTATTTAACGTCATGCATGGAGGGCGTTCGTTAGCAAGATTTTAACATAAACTTTGGCTCATTTTAATCGGTATATTTATCAAATTAAAACTTTGGCCCATAATATCTTTGACTATCATTATGGCATAAATAGTAGAAAAGTCAATATTAAGAAGTATACATTGAGTTCATCGATCCCAACTAATATCAACACAACCATGTATTATCTATCTAAGTAAGCAGCATTGGAGATCAAAGTGGAATATGTGAATAATGAAAAAGTCACATTAAGGGCATATTCTGATTGACCGATTTGAGCTGAATTGAATATTTTATGAGAGAAGGAAATTAAGAATTGAAGTGAAAATAATCTAAAGAGAACAGGTCCTATGGCACTTATATATTTTGAAATATAAGGAGTAAAAAAAGACCAAAATTCCTTAGTTACGAGTTTATGACCCCTCCTTTTGAATTGACGGTTTTTTATACAAGGTAAAACTGCGGTATGATTTTAACATAAACTGATATAATACAAATTTTTGGAGGTAAAAATACCCAATGCCGCACGACCCAATTAGAAGTCAACATCTGGCCTTCTCCAATGTTGAGCTAGCTCCCCCGAAATTGGCCAACCAGAGCTCGCTACATGGCAAGCAGCATGGAATTCCCCGGATGATGAGACCTACACATGACACTTGCATATGTATTTTGCACCCAATCAAAATACACCTTCTTAGCGCCGTTGTGGCCTAGTGATGACCGTAATATAAGACAACTTAAAATACCTCAATCATTTATTGATGAGACATGTTCAATTCATTATTAGATTTTCCGGCCATTTACCATAATTCATCAATTCAAAATGAATTTAATATAATCCCACATTATTATATTTTTCGTTAACCATAATTTATTATAATTAGTGCATAAGTCAAAAGGGGTGCCAATTATAAAAAAATCTCTATTCACTAATGAGAAGTTCATGCATGCATGTAGGCTGGCCAAGTTATATATTCTCCCTCAATTTCAATGCATTCACTAGTTATATTGTCCAATTAAGCATTTGTTTCCTTTAAATAATATCAAATTTAAGAATGAAGAATGTGTTTTATTAAGCTTAACAAATAACTAGGAATGTAGGAAAGTTGATTGTGTCTTTCTTTACACCTGTACTACTTGTACTCCATAAACTTAGCAAACAATAAGCATGTCAATATAACTGTATTACTTTACATATATAAGCTATATAAAATACATGCTATTTTATTTTGTCCAATCCACCAACTCTGACCACTAATTTTTATTAATTCTTTTAAATAAGCAATTAATCAGCCAAATTAAAGCTCGTGACTAATGAAGAGGGTTAATCATACTAGCTACTAGCCTACTACTATTACAACTCACTAGGTTGCCACTTTTATAGTTGGTGTTTGGTAAGGACTTTTTATGCTTTTTAATACATAGTATACTTTATCTTACCAAAAAAAAAAGCAATTTTTTTTTAAATTTTTATTATGACACGACTCAAACAAAATTGATCATACTATAGTACATACTACAAAATAATGACTAAACGGAATAATCATTTTTAGTTTATATAGCCGACTCCATTTATACTATTAAGACTTTGATTAATTGATTGTTACTGTAGCACAAAATTAAATTGAATACTTTGTACTACGTATTTGTTTTCAATTTCTAAAACTATATTGGACAAAATTTTCATCTTTGTCCAAATATATCATTCGACAACTATGATATAATTATAGACTATATTAGTATTTTTAATTTTTATATATTGGTAAAATAGAGTTATTTTGGTACAAGAAACCTTTTCTTTTGGAATAAAAACAAAATATACTCAATCATTATAATCCTGTCAATTCCTGTAATTTAATTGGGCCAAAAATATATTTCATGAATGTCAAATAGTTGGGTCTCGGGTACTTAAATAGTTATTGAAGTTAATTATCTAATCATGGTCATTACCAACTCCCAAAATTAGCTTTCTCTAAGTATGAAATTGCTAAATAAAGTCATTACTTTTTCATACAATTCACCAACCACAATAACAATGACATAATCAAACTCCTTACTATGTAGTATTGTACACCTTATTTCTCACCTACTACATACTACCACGTACATTTTCGCTTTGTTGTACTTGTACACCAACCTTTGCTTAGTGGCATTCCAATAATAACAAGATTTTATTTGTACAACAAAGTCTAGGTATATATTCACATGATCTGATATTTCTTAAGTTCATAAAAGTTTGGTAAAGTGTGCCAAGTTAAAGATCGATCAAGCTTGTATTAAAATGTAGTTTGAAACTTTCTTAATTTGACGGACTATATCAGTAAAGATGTGATCAAACTCAAATCTGATCGAGAAATAACCTAATTGATAATGTTTTGAGTTTTAAAAGTTTATAAAACTACACTTCTATTCTATGAAAGGAATGAGTTTTATTCTCAAACCTAACAAGATATACAAAGTATATGACTAAAATAATACAGATATAGAGTTGCTAAGTTGCTCATCTTATTCAAAAACTTGGTCCAACTCAAATTAAAAAGACATACGAAGTAACTTATACATTGTAGTGTAGTATTATCATCATCTAAATTCTCTTGATCTGATCTCCTATAAAACTTAAGAGCTATAGCCTTAACTTATACGTAATATTAAATATTAAAGAAATACCTCTTTAATTCTACATTTTCTTAAATTTGAAAGACCAATTCATATGTAATAATTTCATTGTAAATCAAACTAAACTATAACTATCACAATTTCTTTTTGTTCATACCCTCAACTCCTCAAGCACCCTTAGGATTCAAACCTTATACCTCTGAAATCGAGTCACACTTTGTAGGTAGTTTGACAAGTAGTTGTATGGATAACTATAATATACTCCATCCATATTCTATGTTGTGGACTAGTGGGTTAGTGAAGTCCACAAACCGCAAAGGGCCCAAATCAGATATTTTTAACCATATTATATTTATTTTAATATATTTTTTTAATATTATTCCAAAATAAAATACTAAGAAATACTGTATTTTATGTGTCGACACTTTCATTTTCTCAGATCCAAAACCAACCTCTTCTTTCTCTCTCCTCGTTATCTCTCTCTCCACCAAACCACAGTCAAAAAATAACATTAATTTTAATTATTTTTATTTCATTATCTAAATATATTTTTAAAAAATTAAAAAATGATGCACCAAATCTCATCATCACTGTACTACAAGGACATAAAAGTAATTTCACAGCCCTCCATTTCCCTCTTTAAATCTCCTCCGCATTTCATCAAACACCTTGTGTGCACTCCCTCTTCTCTCCTCCCTTCATCTTCTTCTTCATCCATTCTCAAATCTTCTGCAAACCCATCTTCTCTCTCCTCCCCTCTTTCAATGGATCCCGTCAATGTCTGGGGAAACACTTCCCTCGAAGAAATCGACCCAGAAATCTTCGACCTCATTGAGAAAGAAAAGCGTCGTCAATGTCGAGGCATTGAGCTCATCGCATCCGAAAATTTCACCTCATTTGCCGTCATTGAAGCTCTTGGATCTGCTCTAACCAACAAATACTCAGAGGGTATGCCCGGAAACCGCTACTATGGTGGCAACGAGCATATCGATGTGATCGAGAATCTTTGCCGATCAAGGGCACTTGAATGTTACAGGCTAAACCCAGAAAAATGGGGTGTTAATGTTCAGCCGTATTCTGGGAGTCCGGCGAATTTCGCGGCTTACACGGCCGTGTTGAATCCGCACGACAGGATTATGGGGCTTGATCTTCCTTCAGGTGGGCATTTGACTCATGGGTATTACACTGCTGGTGGGAAGAAGATCTCTGCAACTTCGATTTACTTTGAGAGTTTGCCTTACAAAGTGAATTTCCAAACTGGGTATATTGATTATGATAAGCTTGAAGAGAAAGCTTTGGACTTTAGGCCTAAATTGATTATTTGTGGTGGAAGTGCTTATCCTAGGGATTGGGATTATGCCAGATTTAGGTCTATTGCTGATAAGTGTGGTGCTCTTTTGCTTTGTGATATGGCTCACATTAGTGGCCTTGTTGCTGCTGAGGTATATATCTTTATTATTATTATCATTATTATTATTTTTCATTTGATTTTTGTTGGTTTTTTTTTTTTTAATTATTAATTCTTAGATTTTATTGTTGTTCTTGAATTATTTAGTGTTGATTTGATGTGGGTTGTTGAAAATAATTGATTATTAGATCTGGTCTTGTGATTATTCTCATTTAAAATTGTTTTTTGGGTTGATTATAGGATGTGCGATCTGATTTTGGTGAATTGGTCCATTATTGGATCTGGAATTTGTGTGTTTTGTTGTATGTATCGAACAGGCTCGTTTGGTAGGTGGTAATAGATGGAGATATTGTTAGTGAAGTTAAATGTAATTTTGCATTCATGGTAATAGTTTTGAGGAAATGACAGTGATGAGAAAGACTGTATAATGTATCTGTCTCTAATTTGCATTTTACTGAGTAATATTATGCATTTGTTACCATTGTGTTTGTATCTTGTGTATGGTTGTTTTCCTATGAAGTAATTGGTTTTACTACAATAGTACAATGTAATAGTGTGTGTATAATTAGCATTTTGTTCTAATCATCTCATTATCTGGCTGTTGTAGCTTGTAAGGCTGTTATCAGTGGATAAATAAGATGTTATTACTGATAAATTTGGTTGTTGCTTGTTAGAGATTCAGAATACTATTGAATTAGATGGAGTATATATTGATAGTGTGGATAAATAAGATGTTATTATTGATAAATTTGGTTGTTAGAGATTGGGAATACTCTCCTTGATGAAGCTGGTTAAAGCGATATGATGGTTGCATGAAATTGATACACTTGCATAGCTGATCTCTAACTTTTGCTGATGTTTTGATTGCAGGAAGCTGCTAGTCCCTTCGATTACTGTGACATTGTCACCACCACTACTCACAAGAGTCTTAGGGGTCCAAGGGCTGGTATGATTTTCTACCGTAAAGGCCCAAAACCACCAAAGAAGGGCCAACCCGAGGATGCTGTTTACGACTTCGAGGACAAGATCAACTTTGCTGTTTTCCCTTCTCTGCAAGGTGGTCCTCACAACCACCAAATTGGTGCCTTGGCTGTTGCTCTTAAGCAAGCCATGTCTCCTGGGTTCAAGGCTTATGCCAAGCAAGTGAGGGCAAATGCTGTTGCAATTGGAAACTATCTTATGAGCAAGGGATACAGCATTGTTACTGGAGGAACTGAGAACCATCTTGTTCTCTGGGATCTTCGCCCACTTGGATTGACAGGTAACTTTAAGATGAACCATTTGGCATTTCTTTTGCTTCATTCTTTACTACAATGTGAATCCTTGGAAGATATGTTGTAGATGTTCAAAGCATTGAATTATTCTCAATATTTTGGCAGGAAACAAGGTGGAGAAACTATGCGATCTTTGCAACATCACTGTCAACAAGAATGCTGTGTTTGGTGACAGCAGTGCTTTGGCTCCCGGAGGTGTACGAATTGGTATGGATCATAAAAGTTTTAGTTATTGTATTGAAAGTTTGAAACTTAAAACCAACACAAGTAATAGTGCATCACTGCATTAGTATTTTAATTGTACATGTTATAGGTGTTGGTAATTATGTGACCTATAGCAATGATAATTTGAAACTTAAAACTAACAGTTAGTAGTGAATTGGTATATTGATCGAACATATTTTAGCGTTTTGGTACTTATGTGACCTAATGACGGATAGTTTTGAACGACAAAATTTGTTTCAAGTGGGTTAAATTACATGGAATGAAGGGAGTGTTGCTTCTTTGTACCAAGTATTTAGACTAATAGGATTATTTTGACTTCTTGGTGCAATGCATATAACTTGAACTCATGGAAAATTGGCCAATTAGAATATCTGGCTTGCCATGCTTTCCAATCTTAAGTTAGTGTCTCCACGGTAAGATTTATTTCTTTTTTGTCCTGAGGTGATCATGATGGCTTAGATTCCTAATGCCAGGTTTATAATGCATCTGTACTTTCATTAGTTATCACGTACAAGATTATGGGAATGGGAATTTTTCAACCTGGCTGCATTTGTTTGACAGATATGAATAAATATTCTTATTTTGTATAAAAAATTCTCCATCTTTTGACTTATATCCACCAAAATGGACTGTAGCTCTAAATTTAGGAATTGTGCGCTTGTAATTCCACACTGCTCCCTAATTTCCCTGCTAAGCAATGATGTATTAACATAAATTGTGTGTTTGGTAGGTGCTCCTGCCATGACTTCAAGAGGACTCTTGGAGAAGGATTTCGAGCAGATTGGTGAGTTCCTTCACAGGGCCGTCACCATCACTTTGAACATCCAAAAGGAGTATGGTAAGCTCCTCAAGGACTTCAACAAAGGTCTAGTGAACAACAAGGAGATTGAACAACTCAAGGCTGACGTTGAGAAGTTTTCGTCTTCATATGACATGCCTGGTTTCTTGAAGTCCGAGTTGAAGTACAAGGACTAAGTATTTTCGTGTAATGATAATCAGGATCACTTCAGTTTTCTCCACGAGCGAAGCCTCCAATGTTATGCTGTCTCAGTGGAAGAAAGCTAATTGTGCTTTTTAGTAGTATATTAGGGGATTTGATCCAAAGAAAAAAGTTCTGGAATTTTTACATTTCAGTGAGTTTAGTTATTTTTTCTTTTCTTTTTTCTCTATGGAAATTAATTAAAGCAGTTTTTCATTTGGAGGTGAAATTTATATGAAATAAACATTGTAAAATTGCCTTATCTTCTCCCTTTACACCCGTGCTTTTATCAAATTAATTAGGTAGCCTAGGTTGAATGTCGGGATCCTTAACTTTCTCAATGCTGTAATGTCAATCCTCTTGGATGAAATTTGCTGCTTGCTCATTTTAAAAAGCAACGACGAATACTCCGTAACTAGTTCCAGGCCGATTGATGTTGAATCACTCAATTGTTATGGTGCCAGTATATGTTCACTATTAGGTTTAAGCTACACACAATGTTTCATCAATTTTTGGTGACTACATATGCTGTTTAATTTGTAATTAACACACCATAAATGGGTGTATAAATTACATTACTTCATCTAGGGAAGCAAAAAGGTTGTAATTAGTCGATGATTTAAACTAATGAATGTGAGCTGGTGTGACTCAATACTTCGTATTATCTTCTCAGATGTTCCAGGTTTCAATATTAGCAAGTCATAGCAGGCAAATTGCTCTTATTTATCAACGAGAATCGAATACAGCCTCTTCTTCAGCTTCTCTAAATTTCATACCATACACCGAAGCACACACTATCATTTACCTTTACTCTTATACAGGCACCTACTAGCTGAATAAGGTTCTGTTGTAACACACTTAAGAGGAAATGTTAACAACTTATTACATTACGCTATGTGAATCAATTTCCCAGAAAATGGCTCAGTCAATTGTAACAGGGGCTAGAATGTGCCAAACAAAAGGGCAAAATTTAGCCAAATAAACTTCTAATGTCTACTCTTCAAGGTAATCAAACATTTCAGTTAGGAAGAATAGTGATTATGAAACAATTCAATGATTATCGAGAATAGCTAAAACAAAAATATATACTCTGTACGGTAAAAATCAGGCACATCTTACAAAGCAACGTTCTGTGGTAACATAGCAAACTCATTTCAATGGACACCGCACACATTCCTCTCATTTCAAACTCTATACAAACAAACCTTAGTGGTATACTGATATTCAACCACAAATGCCTACCAATGTTTCAGCTTATACACTTCATATTCCGCTATGCTCTGAGAACGACAATACATATGATAAATAAGATCCATGTAAGTGACCTAAATGTGCAGACAAGTGAAGTATTCACTTCTTTTAAGAGAAACATCAAAAGCTGGATGAAGGCAGGATGTACAGAATCAGTCACCTCAAACCAAGTGATATGAAAAACTCAGTATAGGCTGGTGGAAAGGGTCAACAGAATGGAGACCAATGGAGCACCTTAAGGAACTTCAATCAAAGATTTCCTGAGCAGAAATTATGCTATGTTGACTGCAAAAATAGAACGAAAAATATTATTAGATAAAAACAAACAACATGCATACAAACACACAAATGCAAAGCCTTCTCAAAAGGATGGGGTTGGCTGCATGAACAAATAATTAATCTCCCATGTTAATCCACAAAGATCCTCTTCTCTATTTGCTTCTACCAAGCCCATTTTATTCATGTCACTTTCTTTTGCAAACCCAATTCAAACAAACATGCAAAAAAATAAAAAAGGAAGAAAATATGCTAAATAATCTATAACCCATACAGTAAAAGAACTATGGCAGTACTATTGGTATTTCTGTATATTAGAGCCATTCCTGAACACGGCCCTGACTTATTTGAGATTTTCAAATCGACCCTGCTGTAGAGAAAGTTCTCCTAAATAACGGTACTATGGACAGCATAACAACAACAGTCCCAACGATTTGGTGTCGGCTAAAATGGATCATATAATCGATTGAATAACAGTTGGAAAAAAAAAGTGTGAAGTGAGAAACCAAAAAAAAAAAAAAAAATGTAGAAAAAAATTCACTACAACTAAATTCAAACACGTAAACTCACTTTCAGATTTCAATTTCAAAGGTGATTTAAGAATTTTAACAAAATCAGGGTTGATTAGGAATTTTGAGAAATATCTTTAGGTATAAGGTTACTATAGATAGTTTCCTAAAGATTACTATAGAATTATAGATAGTTACTATCTTTAGGTATAAGGTATTATAGATAGTTTCCTAAAGAACATAAGAAAGCTAAATTTGTTATAAGAAACATAGGAGTTTTTTTAAAAAGAAATTCCCTCATCCCAGCCCCAGCCAACCACCACTACCACTGGTCAATCATTAGAGGAATCAACAGTGGCCAGCAGACCACCATAGCATAACAGGGAAAATAGCATAAGGTTAGCAAGGAAATAGGCAGGCCCTTACTGTTCATCTTTGTAAACCCGGTAATATTTCTCCGCATGCTGTCGTTGACCAATTAGCTGAGCAAACCGTTCATCATGAGTGATAACAATTAACTGAAAATTCTCCTGGCCTTTTCTGTCTTCCATGATTCTGAAGAGGATGACCCAAAACTAAGATGTTTAGAATTTAATTAGTAACAGGTATGAACCTCTGCAAATACTATGCATACCTAAGAAGAGCAGCAGCCAAACTCTCAGAATTTGGGCCATCCAAGTTTGTTGTTGGCTCATCGAGTGCTAAGATTCCACAATGGAGGCAAAAGGTTTCTGCCAAGGCCAATCTTATAATAAGTGAAGCAAGAACCTAGAGATGCAAATTCCATGGAATGAGAAAGTTAGAAATAACAAACAAGTATAAATGGAAAACAATATAAGTTATCTCTATAGACATGCAGACTGCCTGCCTCACCTTCTGGCCAGCACTGCACCTTCCTCGCATTTCAAGCTCAGCATCACCTGTCTGCATGAGCACCTGAAACAGAAATCACGGACAATTAATAAATATATACACTGATGTTAAGGGCTTTTGTAAAGCAACAAACTTAATGAAGAACTATTACGTAGTCAAGAATATGATATTACCTTATAACTGTAAGATCTAGTTCCAGCACCCTCAGAATCAGAATGTATGTATATGTAATCAATGTCCTGGCCTCTGTATGTTTGCTGCCAGATTTCGCGAATAATTCTATTTATTTCTTCCATTTTCATAGTGTGAAAACGCATCAGGGCTCTGGAGGAAGGTAAGCCAACATAAGAAGCTATGTTCAACATTAGCAACAAGCACATAAAGCCCGTAAACCGTAAAGTGACAAAATGTGTGGTATAAGAGGGCAAAGCTTTATGACTACAAGTGCTGGACAAAGTATTCAAGGCCTGACAGTAATATCAAGTTATCAACACAGAAATAAGAGACTTTCCTAGTTCACCCAATACAAAACTGAGGTCAAAATATTATAGACTTGTACACTAGTTAATTGCAAAGATATTAAATCTTCAGGGGAAAAAAAAAAATTAATCACATTGGCATATAGCAACAGTGTCAAACAAAGAAGATATCAAAAGAAAAAGGAAAAATAAAAAAGAACCTACATTATATACTGGAAGTACATAAATTCTGAAGAAAACAGGAAACAAAAGCTTAATTTCCAGATAAAATATACTGTTCTCTAGATTAATGAGGGAGTGCTTACTTGTCAAGAGCGTTGTAGTATCTATCAAGGTCTTTGTTTGCCATTTCTGTAGTCTGTAAAAATCAGACAATAGTCATTAATACAATGAAATTAGCTTAGGGAAAGGATGTAAAAGCTGTGTGATAGTTACCTTGAGCTGGATAAATTGGTCGAAGTGGCGTTTGTCTATATCGTTGTATTGTGGCTGTTTAAGATCACTCTTGTTTTTTGATATGTTGCTCTCATACACGGACATTGTACCATGAAACCTATTCAACTATAGATATTACAGAAGTTATAAATTTAGTTAATATCTGCAGAACATTCTATGGCAACTCAACTAACCCAGTATGTTTTTATTTGTTTTAATTTTTTTTTTATGAAAGCATACATGACAAGATATATCACATTTTTAGACAGATTTCAAGCATAAAAAAAACATTCCAAGTAAGGCATGAAAATATGGCTTCCAAGCAGGCAAAGGGAGTGCAATAAAAAGTTAGGAATCCATGCAGAATATATGATAGTCACATGTATGAAGCAGAGGTAGTGGCAGGTAAGTGAAACAGCAATTACTTTCCCCAAACGCAGAAAAATAAAACAGAATAAAAGGCCCTCTTAGGCCCTAATGCAGAATGCTTGATCGTCATAATACAAATCTATACTTCAGATTCAGCAGATACATGTTGGATTGCATCCAGCATAGATGCTTTAGTAAACGGCCACCAACTTGGTGCAAAATGCATCACAAAATTTCCAACCAATTGAAATAATTGTAGCCAGACATCTGATAAAAGTAGGTGATATCAGATATGACTTGTAGGCTTGTAGCTGATAATATGACACATACACAGATCCATAACTGTTATAGGGAAACCGAAATAAATCCCACCACTAGTAGTAACATAGCATCTGCCAATATTTTAGTAAATTGAAATGCAATCAGGTATCACAAGAATCATGCGACACAATGATTTATTACTTCAGTTAAACTGATGAATGAGATTAAGAATACCTCAGACAGAAGCCTATCTCTTTCTTTGCCTAACTTAAATAGTTCAGATTCAATTAACTCAGCACTACCAATCTCTACTAGTCTCTGCTCCAGCAACTCAAGGTCACGAGTAAGCTCATCTACTCTGGCTTTTGCCTCCCGATATATAATGTTTTCATTAATATTATGTCTCAGTAACTCTTGGTTCTTATTGAATTCCCGTGCACTTTCCAGTTCATCAGATATTTTTTTCTTCTTTTGACCAGAGTTCTCAATCTGGGATTCTGCTTGTGACTTTCTTACTTGTAGTTCCTTTAAGCGCTCTGCTTTCTTAGTCTCATCAAACCTGCCAGCAGAATGCTATAAAAAAAGTCACATGGAAAGAAGTCAAGGGCACAAGAAAGGACAACCAAATGACCAAAGGCATGATTGAGTTGCATACTCTTCTATCTTGAAATTAAGTTTGAGAAGGTCTTTGAGCTGCTGCTGTTGACTTCTCCACAGATCAGCTTGCCTCTCATATTCACAGTCAAGTTTTTTTTTAAGAGCATTGTAATCACTTAGCAATTTTGATGTCTCCTTGGCCAAAGGATTAATAACCTCAGCATGTTGCTGCAATTATGAAAAGAAATTAACTTCAGCTCATCAAAATCATATTCAAAGATAAATACACATTATTCTGCTTTTACATTGTTTATAATCAATAAACAATCGAACACAAATTAAATGAACTACA